ACAAATGAATTTTTTAATATTTTTAAATTGAAGAATTTTTCAACCCACCGGAAAAACTAAAAAATAAATGTTTTAAGTATTATTTCGAATATTCAGACTTGTTTTTTTTTTAGCGTAACAATATCAACGAAATAAAGTTGTCCATAAATAACGAAGGTCGGTGTAGTATCTTCAAAAATAACTTCTTTACTGCATTCCGCGGATTAATTTCAGATTCTGAGAACTAATATGCAATTATTCAGTTATTAAAAACGAAACAATAGCCTATTACGGATTATACTTTGTAATTAGCGTTTCAACTACTTATAATTTGTAGTAATTTGTTAAAGATTCAACAATGTTACGCATAGTTAAGATTAAACATGGGAAATTTTCAATATTCTATTTAGTTATTAATTTGATGAATTAAAGATACATTATCTTCTTTCTCGACTGAGAAAAACCTTCCAGTAGAAGTAACGCAATACTAAAATTACACGTTAAGGAATTTTATAATCGTTAATCGTTCTTTAGCGAGTTATTCGTGTTACCTTAAAAAGAAAAAACTATTTTTACCATTAATTTGCAAACACAAAATCTTCGTTTTCGAACATTCCACTCTTCCGTGCGATGCACTCGTTTAAATGCAAAGATCCTACTTTTTATAATAATGAATTCCAATTATTTACAAAGTTACAATTTCTAAAGTTTGAAAAATTATAATCATCGAAGCTGAAGCACTGAAGCTAAAATATGCAATAATTTTAAGATGTTAAATTACTTTCAACTGTATTAAAACGTTGAAAATCAAGAAGATACTACTAAACACGTGCATAAATCTTCCAATTTACTTTTCTAAATGTGAAAGGACACTGAAAAAATGAAATAACTAATACGAAAACCGGCCATGCGCGGCTTCTCTGACTCACGTCGTGTGTATTCAACAAATTATTAAACTAAACAAACCAATTGCTCTATGGTGAGGATTTCTTTCCACTTCAAATGGTGTCTTCTAACTTTCTCACAACGCTATAAAATGTTTTTCAAGTCTTGATAATTCGATAAATTATTCACAAGTAACTATCCACAGGCATTTACACGAAACAGAATTATATTTACATTTAACAATTCTCTTTCTTACATATTCTGTAAGACACAAACTGCGTTAAAACAACTTTGAACCTTGGAAAACAGCTGCATCTACTATTACAAGATAAGGTTTCCTGGAATCAAAAATGGCGGTCGTCGGCACTACTTAGAAAATCACTTGAGTGAAAACAAAAACGTAGTTACTCGTATAAAAATAGTCGTTCTTTACGTGCTGTTCGAATATTAAAATGATCAAATCGATGGATATAAACGTAACCGGTGAGAAAGATTTCGCGACAAAAAACATCGTTAACGTGTATCGAAAAATGTGAATTTTCAAAATTCACGGGGGTCTTTGGAATTTTAATTAGATTTATCTACTAGTGCTTACCTTGTTGAAAGTAATTGGCTTTTCGCAGAAATACGCAAACCAAGGCCATAAGCTGTAGCTGAGAAAGTCTCTGTCGGGTCGAGGGCGGTAATGGCAGTAAATCACGTAAGTTGGCGATTTCGGCATTTATCAGGTCCCTTCGAAGTTTGCTGGCACCTTTCGTTGATTTGCTCGCATCTATCCTTCAAGCACACGCGGATGTTACCGATACGCTATACTTTCCGGGATGGCTGAATCTACTTGCGAAATTGACGCGCTTTATGTTGCACATTCTCGCAGGCTTCGAACAATTCGTTACCGACCAAGTACCGTACTGTTTAAACGTTAAACACGCAAAGAAAAAACAGTAAAACTTTATCCGAAACGAAAACTAACCCCCCCGCCCCCTGAAATTTTCAAGCACGACAAAATTCGAATTCAATACTTCCACACGTTTCAGTATGTTTCCACTTTATCGCGGAATACAGGCTCAAATCGATCTCCCGAAAGAAATTAACCACGAAATTGAGTTACATTAGAAAAATCTGAGAAATGATCTGTCGCTCCATGTGATAAAAAGAACTAAACGTGTAGATTTACATTTGCCTAGATCGATCAAATTCTGCACGATGTAGCCAACGCCATCATCGGAAGCGCTCGCGAAAAGGGGTAGAAATCACGATCGACGGTCAATGCTCGAAAGATAAGTGGTATACGCTATGCGTTAAACGTGTGGTTCGACACGTCGATCACGTGACCGAGCATTACTTACCGATTGAACATATTTCGGTGACCAGGGGGACATTAGTAGCGGATCACTTGTAGACGACGAACGAGACATCCGGGTCGGCAGGTTCTCGCAAAACTGCAGCTACGATCTAACATCCGGGTCATAACGCGCTACTACACTGAACACGTGGATACTGGCGGAGGCTGGTTCTCCTACCTTCTCACCTCCGCAGCCCCCCTTTTTCTCCTTTGCTGCCACCACCACAACCACCCACCATCGCCTCCTTTCTGTGTCCACCTCGAGCATAGGTATCCTTCTCGTGTATGTGACAGGTACGTTCGTCTCTTCTTTGTTTCGCTGTTTATATTCCTTGGTCGCTCCCACTCGTCGATTTATCTCACTCGTTTATTCCCTTTCTCCACTTTTTCGCTCGCTCGCTCCTTTACCCCATGCTGGCTACCACGGTCACGATCGGGCAGTCGTGTCCCTCTACCACCGCCATCATCGCCATCCTCGCCACCACCACCACCGGCTACTGGTTGCGTTTGCTGTACATGCGGTTTTGCCCGAATCATTTGCGCAAAGTCCCGCCTCGGGAACTTTTCGGTACTGGCCTGAAGCGCGCGCCAAGGGTACCACCACCGCGCTATCTCGGGTGAGGTTAGAATTTTCGGAGCAGAGGCTAACGTCTCGAGGAAGGTAAAGGTTTGAACAGCAACGCTTAACTTCGTTTGAAAATGTAATTATAGGTAGATCTTTTTTTTTTCTGTGGTTTGCAGAGAAATGCTTGAATTTTTCTTTGGAACGACTCTGAAGCTGCGTCTGCACGGTATAAGTAGACAGTGGTATAAAACGAATTCTTTACTTTTCGTTATAGGCAGATTTGTGTTGAACGGAGATCACTTGTTAAACACGTATGAGATACATTTTTTTGAAAAAAGGAGAAGTAATTTAGTGGAGAAAGTAGTTTATTTTTCACTAAAGAATGGAAGGTTCTACAACTTAAAGATTCCTCGAACGTATTTATTTCTTCGTAAACGGAAGGAAATAAAGCAATGAAAATCTTCATGCTGTTTTCATTTGAACAACGACAATTTTGTAATTAAGGGAAACTGATAAAAACTTTTCAAGCATATCTCTGTTACAAATTCATTAATTTACCGTGTAATTTTTTAAATATATTATATTTCATGTTTAAAATATTGTTTTACAAGACTACTGATATAATAGGCAGCTTTACATTAACAAATAAGGATTACGTTATAGTAAACCATTGATCGAACGAATTTTCTTTCTCTCCTATATGTATATTATTGTTTATTTATACAGAAGCACACATTTATCTTAATAATGTAGAGTAATTTTATTTTCATTTATCTTTCGATTTCATTCACTTTAACATATTTCTTGATATATACTTGTTTTTTTTTCTTTTTTCGTTTTTTTTTGGTATAAATTAGTCGTTTCGTCTAAATTCGAAGACTACACACCAGTCTACAACTCAACGAACACTTGATACATTTAAAACAAGGATAACTTTATGTTGTAACTACAAAATCGAACTAACATTTACTAATTTATGTTATAAAAAAAAAAATTGAATTACACTGCGCTGCTAAGATCTTATCAGCAAACCTACCTCGATGAAGACTTTTCTCAAAATTATCAAATGTTCGATAAATTATGGTCGGGTGTGCTTACATTACATTTTACTTTCCTTTTTTCATTCCTTAAGTATATTTCCTGTAAGAAATGATGCTGTACGAAATTATTAAAACAGCACTATCGTGATTACAGGAATGAATCAAGTGTTTTTTTTATACTTTAAACGAATTAGGTAAAAATAGTTACATTGTACATGCAATTCTTTCATCCCTTACATCTGTTTCATTCCACAATCTGCAAACATGATCCCTTAATTATTTTGAGCAGCATACATGAAAGTACGACAAATATCAACCTTTGTATTAATCTAATTTATATTAATTTAACAGTTAATAATCAATTTTAAGTAAAAATTCGTATTCAGAGCGCGATAATCTGTCGCGGAATTTCTCAATTGCTTGTCATTTATTTCACGCAATATCGTCACCATATTCATATATTGACCATTGCTTATCAGTATTTTAAATTGTAGGTAGTTCAACTTCTTTTCTTTTTTTTCACTTACTGCATTAAAGAAAAATATCGGAAAGAAAATTATAGAACTGTTTCTTCATTTCTTCACAGCTGAAGAGAACTTCTACTAAATGTAAAGTATGTTTAATTACATCAATACGATATGTGAAAAATCATAATTTTTTTATTCGAGCTCGACAAAGTGAAATTTACAGGTATCTTAAAATTCAAACTTATTCTCTCATCGTCCTTTTGATTCTAAAATAAAGATCTACCTTGATCGCTGATAAACGAAAAAAATTTAAGAGCAGGGAAGTAGTAGCATCAAGAATCATCCTATTTTTGTCTCAGAAATTTCTCGTTTTATTATCTGTTTGCTTAAGAACATCCGAAGGAATACCCTGTGTATTTCCATAATTTAAACAATTCAGTTCTGAGCGAAGTATTAAGGGGACCTTGTATATAAGAAGGTACGCTTACTTGTATGCATACTTTATTGAGTACCGAAATTCAATATAATCATTTCTACCGTAATCACAAACTATTTTGTGAAAACGTCGTGTAAAAAAACATATCCAATATCTTATAAAGTATAACGGCCATAACCGAACTACAATACTATACCATTTTTTCCTACCATGCCTGTACTCTAAATCTACTCCATTTTATTATTCTTCCAGTCTTTCTTCCCTTATTTATAATGATCGGAGATCCGGATGCGAAACAATTCAAACCAACACTTCGGTCAACTTTACATATAAAATTTGCATTAATATTAAAAATTCTGCAGAATCAAACTGATTAATAATATTTACCTTAGCATACTTTTTTACGATTCAAGTTCACAGCTGCTTAAATCTATAGCACAAATTTTGAATTTTATCCAAAACACGCTATCTCACGTTGAGAGAGATATTCCCCATTTCTATATGTAGAAATGAATTTTTTCCGACTTCTCGGTACGATAAAAATTTTATTCAAAAAGAACGAAAACAGAGATAATTTCCATCGTTGTTGACGATCTTTCGCCATCTTTCTGGCAGCTTGCTGAGTACCATCGCGATAGAAACTCGGTGACTTCAGATCAATTACGCGAATCCAGTCGAAAAGAATGAATTTCTACACCTATTAAATACTGGTGCTTCGTTAAGAAAAATAGAAATCTGCTGAAATTGATATATCGACTTTAATATCTCCGTGTTAGGAAAAAAAAAATGTATGTTCAGCGAAAGAATAATTTTCAACGATAGAAACACGTTCCTTTTTAATATACTACGAACGATGGAATTATCTCTTAAGTAGGTGTAATAGAGCCTCTTCGATCTATCAGCATTAACTACAAATATGAGCTTTTCGGGAATACGATTTAAAAAAAAAAAAAGAATTAGAGTGAACTAATTGCAAGTTTTATGGGAAAAAAGTGGTTTTTTAAAAAAGAAAACTAATTATTACTGAAATGTTTCTTCGATCCCTACAAATTTTTCGAAAAATCACTAAAATACTAATGGACCATGATGTATCACACCAATGAAGTTGTATTGATAGTTGACGTACGTATATTTCAGATAAAATTCTTCGACGTTACAATTTGCTGTGATCATGTGTAAGATCGTAGTAAATTAAAACTTACAAATTACGTATTGGCGGACTACAGACCGGTATCTTCAACAGTGCATGCATATATAGAATGAGGCACTTAATACGCGCGCACCTTGATCGATATTTCTCATCAATGATAAATAATCGTTTTTTTTTTTCCCCAACGAAAGTAGCAGTACGCTGCAACGATAACAAAGAAAGAACGAAAAATGAAGCTTTCCGAAATCGGAATTTATCCTAACAGATGAAACCAAAATTTCCAAGTTAAAGATAAGATGATTCTTTGTTTCTTGCTATTTCTTAATTTCAAACGACTTTTGCTTATTTATAGGTATAAAATTTACAAAGAACACTTCTCGATCTTTATTTTTCCCCTTCTTCGTTTATTTGCCTTAACTCCGTTTAACTTCGTTCTTTTCTTTTTTTTTTTTTCTTCTTAGTACAAATAATCTTATATTGTTATATCTATAAATAAGAAAACCTTATTTGGAGTGAGATATAATTAAAAGAAATTCGTCGAATTTAACTTTGCATGATTAATTGATATGAAAATTGGACGCGCGTTAAAACTATAAGTATATCTAGCATGTTGTGTGTAACACCTTGTCTATTTTGTTTGTGATTTATATGCACATGTTATCGTTCGTTGGATTCTATAAAATCAAGTGCTCTTCTCTATATAGCTTGGAATATAACAACTCTAAATAGCGTTAAATTTATCGTAACATTAATCGAAATTGAAATTATCGTAATCTAAAGAAAACTGAATAAACGCTGACTACTTTTGAGAAAGAGAAGATGATACAAATGAGAAAGAAGTGAGAAGTACAATTCGTAAATAAAACGTGTTAAATGTCTCAGGCTGTACATGTACAAATTATTTTGATTGATTTCGTTGTTAAAAATATATTTTTTTTTTTTTTCTGTTTGTTTGTATTTCGAATTCTGAATACATTTTCTTCTTCTGTTTCGGTTGAAATGAAAACGTTGACGTTTAGCGGCAAAATGATACATAACGTAAAAGCTATTGTGATATAATTGATTTTAAGTATGTTTTAGATCGTCTATATTTTTCATAGATTCGTACATTTTCTGTGTAAAGCGTTACAACAAACAAAGAAGATATGATTAACAGATACCATACTCCTTACATGGATAAATTAATAAATTAATTTTTATTCACGTTATTCAAATTCTTATACAAAGTTAGAAATATTTGGATATATTTTCAAAATCTCGAAATTACATGCAACGAAATAAATATTAGAACTTATCTTTTGGTAAAATTGAAGTGATTCGTTCCTTTGTTATATAAGTTTCAATAAGGAAAAATGTATCATTGATCCTGAAATAATCGAGAATATTTTAGAGAACACAAGTGGACCGTGGTTTTTTCTTTCGATAATAATTTTCATCCAGATTAGAAAATAAATAATTCGTGTAATTAAATTACGTGGAACATGGGGTACACGTAATTTCTATTGAATCGTACGATTAATAATTATTTATACCGATTATCGTGAATAATCCATTGAACCCAGCATTACAGTGTCTCGGAGAGAATTCCCTAAAAAGGACATATTACGTTTGATCTCTATATTCTTAAATATTTGCATTGAACATGTGCAGTTAGCAATTAATCATAAAATCGACACTTATGTTTTTTCATTTTCTTTTTTTTTTTCTTTTCTTTCGCATTTCGCGTTTCTTCATTGCCACACGCTTGTGCAACTGTACGATCAAAGAAATTGTAAATTACAATTGTATAGTAATCAAGAAAGTGTTAAACAGCTCTTTCTTTCTACCACTCTCTCTCTCTTCCCCTCTCTTTGCAAATGTGATCAGATTAAATCAGAATCTCTAGCGAATGCATACAATTATACATACATATGTATGTGTGTGTATATATATACTTCCAAGCTGTATATACAAATATTTGTGTTTTAGAATAAAAAGTTGCAGCTCAGATCAATTTGCACAGATTAATCGAAAAGCAACTTTTGTAAGAGTTTCATTTGATGATAATCAATTTTCTAAAAGTAAGATAGTCCATTTACATCGTTTCCTCTGTATTCTGTATATATAGGCGACTCTTGGTCGTCTACTATACAGAAATTGAACAAAGAAGTAGAATGAAATGCAATTGAAACATGCCATTTTGTTAGTCGTAGATACTGATGAAAGTAAGATGTGACAACGCCAGTATAATAATAATATTGTTATTTATGATTCAGCTAACTCTCTACTGTCCTCGTCCCACTCGGTGAAGCTTTCCGTTTTATTCTGCTTGTCGTTCTTTTCAATATCTTGCTCCCCTTCAACATGCTCCTCTTCAATGATCATAACCGATTCCTGCGACTCGTCCACACTGTTACTTTGTTCGCTGCATTGCTCGTCGTACTCCACTATTTCTGTCTGTTCTTCCACGTATTGAATAACTTCCTCCACTTGATCGGCATTGCAATCGTCTAATATCTCGGATTGTTCAACCTGCATCTCCTCGTCTGTCACTTTCTCCTCAACTTCCTCGACCACCTCTTCCACTATTTCCTCGGTCTCTTCAGTAAGTTCCTCCGACTGATAATTCTCATACGTTTGCCGGTCTCCTTCTTCATTTCCATGAATATAAACGATCATCCCATCCTCCGTTCCCTGCATCACGATCTGCTCGTTATCGGAAATATTCAACTGTTGTGGCTGTTGTTGCTGCTCGTTCTCCTGTTGCTGATAATTATCATTGTCAATCAACATGATCATGTGCTGTCCATCGAGTTCGTGAGTGTTGTATGTCATTTCGTGTGGAATATTGTTTATCTGCATCTCCGGTACGGTATACTCCGACACGTTCGAAGTTACTTCGTGAGTTTCCGCCGGAACGCTGTCTCCAACGCCCAAGGAAGCAGCTATACCGCTTGCTACGTGACTTAGAGCTTCCGCTTCTGAGGAAGGTTCCAGAGAAATGGTTGGCATAGACACCGTCGTTGTTTCGGTATCCCGTAGATCCTTGTGCACACAGTCGAGATGAACTTGCAAGTTTGTCGCTCGTACGAAAACTTTGCCGCAATGTGTGCAACGGTGACCTTTCTCTTTACCGTCGGGCAAGTTTCCATGACCTGTGTTAATCTCATGAGTCGTCAATTCGGTAACGTCTTTGAACGTCTGCGAGCACTGCATGCACTGAATTTCTTCGGCCGTCGACGAATGCTGACGCGATGTTGGCCGATGATTGTGATTGATCTGGTGCCTTACGAGAAGTGTCTCCGAGAGTGCCACGTAAGAACATGCCTGGCACTTCGGGAAACACATGCTTTTTGGCGGAGGCACGTTGTGTTTCGTGTAAAGATGATACATTAAAATATTTCGTTTGGTCGCTTTGTAGCCACAGTGCTCGCAGACCCGCGGATCGAATTTTTCCTCGTGCACGTCTTGCATGTGTCTTCTGTACATGTAGTAGTTTGTATACTCCTCCTCTAAGTCGCACTTGTTACACTTCCAAGGTCCAGTCTCGCCGCCATCGACATTCCCATTACTCTTTGACTCAGTATCCTCGCTGTTATTGCTTGACATCAAGTGGTCAGACTTTAAAACTACATACGAAACTTTCGTCTTGCACGCTGAATTGCTATCTGCTGATTTTGCTTCTTTCTGCATGATCTTCAAACGTATGTTCTTGTTATTCTTTACCAAATGGGGATATTTCTTCAATACTTCTCGAATGATTTTTGCATGATTATTAATCGAATCTTCTGAATTGGCTCTGTAAGACGGTTTTCCTTTTTCCATATTCTCTTTCTCTTCCAGATCAAATCGTACCCTCTTTGATGGCGAGGGCTGTGTATCTTGACCCCTTTGGAAACATCTAGACACAGACCAATCATCGTCGGAATTCATTTCTTTAAGACTCTTCTCGTTTGCATGACCTTCGTCCTCCTCATCTTCAGTCGTGTCGTTTTTACTATCTCTATCTGGGGAACATTTACCACTAGGCGAACTGTCTCTTTTATATTTGTCTGGCGCTTGAACGATAGGTTTTGTATTGTATGTGATGTCATCGAACGATGAAAACACACCGAGTGCAAACTCTTCAGCTTCAGGGAGATCAAATCGGGAAGGACCAGGAGTCACCTCTGTAGGCCTATTTGTCGAGGGCATCCCGTGGAATGTTCGCATTTCATAATTCAACGATGGCATACTCTGTGGTGTATCCAACTTCCGTTTCCAAATGGGAAGCCTGAGAAAATAAAAAGGACATTTCCTTTAGGGACAATATAGGGATAATATTAAAGACTCATAGACAAAAACTTTGTGTTTGAAAAATGATTATTTCTGTTAGTTTATATTACTTTATAATAAAAATAAATTGTTTGATATATGAATCTTTAAGAAGTATGAATGTATAATGCATATAAAAAATTGTATACTTACTTTCTACCTGGCAATGGCTGACTTGAAAGCCCTGAAGATGCAGTGGAAGTATTTGTTGGTTTTGTGCTAGATGTTGATGGCTTTGAAACTGCTATTACTGGTCGGGCGTTGCACTTTACTGACTGTTCACTTTGTGGAGAAGCAGTGTTAAATTGTGCATCAAGCAATTTAGTTAGAACAGCCATGTTCATTTTCTGTGCTGTACGATATAAAGCATGTTGCTCAGAAGTCCAATACTCCAACTGTCCAGTGTACATAAAACTGCAAGGTATTACAATATATGCATATATTATTGTTTTTTTAAATTATCAAAATATTCTAAAATGAAATGTTATATAAATTACATTTGAATATACCTTATAATTGACTTGACACATTCATATGGCATATCTGCTGGCATGATAATTACCCCATCAAAATTTTCATCCTTTTCTTTTTGCTCACGTTCCAATTGCATAAAGTAGTCTGTGCATGTTGTTATGACTAAACGATGAGCCTGAAATATAATAGAGAAAAGACATGTAATAAATGTAGTTTATGTTAATTTCAGATGGGTGCTCTTAGTAATTAGAATTTAAAAATGTTAAATATATTAAAAATAAATTAAAATTACTACCTGAACAGTGATATCACTAGTGGGAAATTTGATTGTAAGATCAAGTAACTCTTCTTCAAAATAAAGCTGCTGAAGTCTTTGAAGGAAGAAAGTTCCCCAATTGTCTACCTTTACTTGCTTTAACCCCCGTGAAGGAAGTTGTTTATCCTGATTTGCTGCTTCCATTGTACACCTACACGTGTGATCATAAAATGAATTGTATATTGCTAATTCAAAAAACACCTTCTGAATTCTCAGACAAGCATTACTAGTACAACATAGGTATTTCCATTTTTTATTCAAAATGCAGTCAAAACACTAATATTACTACAAAAATGTACCTCACTATAAACTTTTTATAATACATTAACAAAATTATCAATAAAGATTAGATGGTAAAAATATCTACAAACTATAAAGTGTTACAACCATGTTGAAATTTGTTATTTGTAAAACAATTAAACAATCTTAACAAAATTTTATCATTAATTTAATAAATTGCATTATAATATACCTCCTTACCTGATGTTATTAAATTCAACTACTTATATCTATTTATGCTCATAGTCCAATTGGACCAAATCCTGTAATGAGAAAAAAATAAAGAATATAATAACTGTGACCATATGAAATTGTATTACGAGGTAACGAACAATGCTTTTATTCTCTAATGACTAATGAGCAAACACATTAAGAGATATGTTGTATTCATTATATTATAATTATTATAAATTAACTATTACTCAGAAGTCCAATACTCCAACTGTCCAGTGTACATAAAACTGCAAGGTATTACAATATATGCATATATTATTGTTTTTTTAAATTATCAAAATATTCTAAAATGAAATGTTATATAAATTACATTTGAATATACCTTATAATTGACTTGACACATTCATATGGCATATCTGCTGGCATGATAATTACCCCATCAAAATTTTCATCCTTTTCTTTTTGCTCACGTTCCAATTGCATAAAGTAGTCTGTGCATGTTGTTATGACTAAACGATGAGCCTGAAATATAATAGAGAAAAGACATGTAATAAATGTAGTTTATGTTAATTTCAGATGGGTGCTCTTAGTAATTAGAATTTAAAAATGTTAAATATATTAAAAATAAATTAAAATTACTACCTGAACAGTGATATCACTAGTGGGAAATTTGATTGTAAGATCAAGTAACTCTTCTTCAAAATAAAGCTGCTGAAGTCTTTGAAGGAAGAAAGTTCCCCAATTGTCTACCTTTACTTGCTTTAACCCCCGTGAAGGAAGTTGTTTATCCTGATTTGCTGCTTCCATTGTACACCTACACGTGTGATCATAAAATGAATTGTATATTGCTAATTCAAAAAACACCTTCTGAATTCTCAGACAAGCATTACTAGTACAACATAGGTATTTCCATTTTTTATTCAAAATGCAGTCAAAACACTAATATTACTACAAAAATGTACCTCACTATAAACTTTTTATAATACATTAACAAAATTATCAATAAAGATTAGATGGTAAAAATATCTACAAACTATAAAGTGTTACAACCATGTTGAAATTTGTTATTTGTAAAACAATTAAACAATCTTAACAAAATTTTATCATTAATTTAATAAATTGCATTATAATATACCTCCTTACCTGATGTTATTAAATTCAACTACTTATATCTATTTATGCTCATAGTCCAATTGGACCAAATCCTGTAATGAGAAAAAAATAAAGAATATAATAACTGTGACCATATGAAATTGTATTACGAGGTAACGAACAATGCTTTTATTCTCTAATGACTAATGAGCAAACACATTAAGAGATATGTTGTATTCATTATATTATAATTATTATAAATTAAATATTAATTACAAAATGATATAGTTTTATTAGAAAAAAAGACAATTATTTACACCACACATGCTATTGCATAGACTACAAATATTACTTAACATTCCTGAGAATAATCTCTTCGTACTTGTGACTCAAGTGCCACAAAATCCATCTCACAAGAGAAATAATGCCAGAATTAATTACTTAGCAGTAACTTAACCTGACTGGTTTCTAAAAATTAAAAGTTTCACATCTAACATTATAATAATAACGCATTAGAGGGGTCCATTGACATCGGAATATGGTTCTGAAACTTACAGTAGTGAACGAAGTACAGCAGCATAAAAATTCTTTAGTATATATAATACTATATACACATTGTTAGAATTACTCTGAAATTCAATTAGATTGAAATATTGCAAAAAGAAGAATACTATGCGAACGAAAGGAAGTAAAAGAACTTTCGATAAAACTATCAGCGGATACTTTGCGGAACGCTGAAAAATGGAAGTTTAATAATGATGCATGTCTCCCTTTCACGATCAAAGTCGGGCATATTAATGGTTATTTCGAATATATACAAATTCAAAATACCCTGTGGATGTATTGCACATACCTATTTAACAATATTTCAATATTCCTCTCAGCTCCATCTCTTATAAATTTCCTTAGTACACAAGTAATATTGAACATTCCATTGTGTATCACGTCTCACAGATGGAGTTATACGATTCCACTGTGTAACGAATAGACAAATCCACCAACCACGGTATACCAGATCAGAGCGCTACCAGGCGGACGCGATTGTCATGCGCTGGACACTAGCATGCCTCTCTTAAATTTAGGTGAATCAAGCTGACGCGGGTAATAAAGGATATAGTGACGCTAGTTAGTGGTCACGTACGTTTTTAGTGAAATGGTTCAAAAAGTATGTACTGAAGTTTTAATAAAGTTTATATATTTTATTGCATTGCGTGTTGTTTGTCATATTTCTAGTATTTTTTTCTCCTTAACACGTTCGCTGCCATCGTCACAGCATATGAGGCGCAGAATGTATTGCGCAGTTAGTATTGCTTATTAAATTGCGTGAGAAATGGTCCACTACATTGGAAACGAAATCCGGGAGTTAAGAAAAATGAAACATTCTTTTGTTTCAAATGTAACTATTATTTGTTTTTAAAAGTGGCGGCTTCTATCTCATGCCTACAATTAGCTACTAATCAATCGCCAATTACAAAACATTACTAGCCTGTAAAAAATAAAGTATAACAAAAAATAGGTATATGTTTATAGCTACACATATATATTACATGTTTATAACTATAAACGAGGTTTATCTGTGATATGACGTACCAGATGAATTATTTTCTTCCTTATCTACGTCAAATTTAAAATGCCCATGGTTTTATGTGAAATGGTGCACGATGTCAATTATCACTTTGAGATATTCCCTTGTTAGGTAACTAGAAATTGGACTTGATTTTTTAACAGTTTAACATTTAATATGCTAATAATTATGCTGAGTTCGAAAAACATCTATGACATAGTGACAGAAAATATCCAATTTGCAATGGTATGTTTCGTATCCAAGATACCCGAAAAGAGAACCGCCAACCGAACAGTTCCGAGCGTTGCCGAACGCTCCCGACCACCGTTCTTAAATGCAGCGGGAATCATGTGCAAAACGAAAGGTTATGTTGTAAGTTGAAAGTGAATACAAGTGATATCGAGCAGCGTATATTGTTGATTTATTCTGTAATTTGGTGTTCTATGTTAATTGAATTGTCGAGTTTTTAACAGCAAAGATTGACATAATACAAAACGTCTGAACATTTGAAATACCGAACGTCTGAAATACTGAACCTCTCTTTGAAATTTCCGCTGCCATATACAGAATATTCTCCACAAGTGTCAGACCGCAAGGAAGCTAGAACTGACACTCGTAGAATCAGGGACTACGTTTTCGAGCCTCGCGCCCGCCTTTGTAGTTTGCCGAACGTAGACAAGGACAGCGAATAAAAGATAAGGATGAAGTCGAGGCAACCAAGCGATTTAAATACCAACTTTTTTAATTTTACGTTTTTTTATCCCGAAATTTTTCTTAACATATTGATGAGATTTTTCTGATGAAAATGACATCAAACACGACATAATTTGAACAACATGTCACGCCAGACAGTGAACGTGTTAATAAGTAAATGTTG